GTGTTTCATACGGGATTTAGTGGAGATTTAATGGCATTTATTTGGGCTTAAGGATATTTAATGAAGATTTAAGTGTGTTTTATATGGGATTTAATGGTGATTTAATCGTGTTTCATATGGGGTTTAATTGTGATTTAATGGGATTTAATGGGGTTTAATGGTGTTTATATAATAAAATATTGAATTTTATGGGGATTTGGGAAGAACATCAGTGAAGAAATACCTTCTGAGGAAGCATGACTGGGGCATGATTTATGAGGTGAGTTGTTCCTTCTCAGGAAGTATTTGTATCCATAGGGATAGGCTGGATAGGTATGTAGCATCTGCCATTCATATATTATATATCCATACTATAGATATCTTTAGATCTATAGTGATACCCAAAGAGACCAACAACAAATAGTTTTTATTGGATAATATAGATATCATAGGAGCTATAGTTTATAGGTTCTGGATGAATCGTGATAAATTCACTGATCTGAAACTTGCGGCTATTTCGGGATAGTTACCCCCAATCCTAAGCATAATTTCAATGGGGTCGCGACGTGGGTTGCTATAGTTTACCCCGACAAATATGTATAGATATGTAGCATGTGCCATTCATATATCCACATAATTATGTTACATAGATCCTGTCTTAGGGAAACTATATGTGCCATAATCAAAAGCTGGATTACACACCCAGATTGGGGAATGGTCATCAATCCATTCATAAGGATTTACGATGATTCATGTATCTCACAGTCATGTTTGACTTAAATTAAACTCCTTGCGAAACGCAAAGCCAATATAACCATATAGAACCCACATACTGGGGGGTGCAGTGGGTGCAGTTGAGGTGAACAAACTGGTTATAAGTTATAGCCAGGGGATTACCCCCAGAAGTTGGGATTGTTCAGCCCCTAGCCCTGCAAAAAAAAGGCAACTGGCTTCAGCAAAATTCGCGACATCCATTAACCTGACAAAAAAAAGGTTTCCTGCTGAGTTTCCTGATGAGTTTCGATGTTTGTTGCTGACTTTCTGAAGTGGGATTTCTGGGATATTTTTTTGTTGCTAAGCGACAGAGAGTCTATAGTCTGATTGGAGAAGGGAGTTGATTGTTGCTGTTGCGTTGTAGAGTTTGGATCAGTGATTAGTTCATCGCACTTGTGTAATATGATGATATAACAATTGTGTACAGTATATTATCATATCCCATAATATGGATAGTTAATGATAGTTATAACTTTCTTATTATCCAGTTATCTTATTTCGACACATTTCCAACTACTACAATCAGTTTAGATCCAAGTCCCATCTCCTAGCTGTCTTCTTATCCAGGGCCAATCAATAGTGCTTCATCAACATTCACTTCATCTCCATCTTCAAATATCAACTGTGTACCCTTTTGAACTTCCCACACTTCATCTCCAGGTAACTAGACTTTAGGCCCAACCTGTTGTACCCTCCCCATGGCCCAACATTCGGCACCATCAAAAACCCTCCCGAGGATGTCTTCGTCCAGGCCTGCGAAGCATCGCACCAATACTTGGTGAAGTTGATCCGCGACGCTCGGATCTGAGGCCGCAAGCGTATGCAAGCGTCGTGAAGATGTGGGAACTGTAGGGATTGAACAAAAATCATTGATGATGATTGATAATGATTCTGATTGATGATTGATGATTGATGATTGATGATGACTGATGATTGATGATGATGATGATGATGATGATCATGATGATGATCATGATGATGATCATGATGATGATGATGATGACCATAATCATGATCATGATCATGATGATCATGATGATCTCCGGAAAAAAGAGTGGCTACTATAGCAGCCTTTTGATAATGTATAATCATCAAACAACAGGGTAGTTTGAACACTGCTCAACTAAACATGTTTAAGATCGCCTGAAAGTTTGGCAAATAAAAAAAAGTCTACCATCCACCAGTTCAAGAAACTCAACTGGAGAGCACAGGCTTGGACAAAAAAAAACATTGATCCTAGAATTTAATATAAATCATATTCTTTTGGTTCAGAAATTTGGTTCAGAAATTTGGTTCAGAAAAATTGTCAAGCATCACAAGGGCACTGACAAACGATCCAAGAGTTGGCGCCTGGCTTGTGTTAGCAGCATTCTTGGAAAATCAAGCTTGGTCCAATTACTTCAAACATATTCAAAAATACTCAATTTTGGACAGCTCTAATCATTCCAAACAAGGATACCGAACAGCGTGATGCGTATCGACGATTCCATGCGCATCACTTCTGATCAGAATAAAACATTGGTTTCACTCTCAATTTCACGAGCAGTTTTGGATTCAGAAACCAACAATTTCCTTTTTGGTCGTCTCAACTGGATCCCAAATCTATATATCCGTGGAGTTGCTCAACTGGAACCCACCCAATTTGTTTCAAACATCTTCCGCCTAGTCGATTCCCCAGTCCTGCTAGATTTACCATTAGGACCATTAGGAAAATAGCAAACACCGACTCGGATTCTAGCTGCAATATGAAAATGTGTCACTGTCATAACCAAGGTCATGGAGTCATGATCCGGAACCCGTTAACAATGAGAATTGGGCTCCGGAACCCAGCCAAACGGAGAACGGTATATGGATAGCCCTAGCTCCGAGCCGCTCCCTCCGAACCACCTACCACTGGATAGTATAAAACATATATATATATATATAGATAGATAGATAGCTAGATAGATAGACAGATAGATAGATAGATTTCAAAGATAGATAGATAGATAGATAGATAGTTCATATTGATAGAATATCAACATGTTCAATCATTTTCCCAATTTTGTCAGGAGGTTTGGACATATCAATATTCTATCTACTCTTGGATGACTGAATATTTTGATATATCTTGATAAGTTATAGATATAATAAATATATATATATATATTGTAATAATTCGATGAACTCAACAGTTCGGCTATATTGGGAGAGTTTCCCCAAATCCTAACCATCATTCCAATGACGCCGCAGTGAAGTCATTGGGTCATCATAATTCATCCAGAGATATCTAGAACTGTCTGATATATAAATATGTATCACTGTAAAACTATATATCACATGCCTATTACATACCATTATAAGATATCACTTTATTCCAACATATGGCTATATATTTAAATCCAAATATATCATGTTAAATTTACTTATCACATCTTATTATATACTTTATTATGCCATTGCTAACTTAAATGCCGGATATCTAACTATGAATGGCAACTATATATGTGATATCCAATAATTTGAAAGTATACCCATTGATAACGGACTATCCAGCTTGCTTCACATCGAAACGGCGCCGCCTCTTCCTCTTTGTGCCAAGGGATGCAGCCACTGACCAGATTGTACCTGCAGCCGGCAACCAATGGGGAAGCAACATCCCCTGGTAGGAGAAAAGCTACATAATTATCTGGTTGGTGGTTTCAACCCCTCTGAAACATATTAAAGTCAGTTGGGATTATTCTTCCCGATATATGGAAAGATAAAAACATGTTCCAAACCACCAACCATATATATATATAACATATTACATAAGGATGCCCTTCGCAGCTACTTTGTGGCACTCAATACTACAAACAACTGCTGTATGGATTGTATAGCGCTCTGCACTTCTGTTTACATTTAAAGAGCTAAAGGGTGGTAAAAGTCAAGTGTGGTCTGCAAAGGAACAATTACCGCTGAAAGCTTTGACTATGCGGTGACGGGTACTGCTCTTCAATGCTCCCTATCTTTCCCCCGTAAACTCTTCCATCATGCCAAGTTGGGCGGACAACACACACAAATAACATGTGGTACCACCTGCCTTGTCATTCATATGCGGTTTTGTTCAAACATGGTGTATACCTCAAAATTGCAAGCATTTTGATTCGGAACATGTCTCATGAAACCAATTTAAAGAAACAAATCATATCATGTGTTCATTCTAGTCTATTAATGTCTAATCAAAAGGATACGGAAACTAAACTTCATCCTCACATGTTCCATGAAACTTCATTCCATTATTGCCCGCATGTTCATCGTGCTCGGATTTGCTTAATCAATTTCCCAGTCATGGTGGATTTCCCATTGGGAACATGCCAGAAATCACCGACGAAACAATAAACAAAACCCACCAGGTTGTGCCCCCCCAGTGATGTTTGCTGGTTTATAAACCATAGTAAATATATGTAAATATTGATATACCTACCATAAACCATAGTGAAATGGGAGTTATGTGCACCAACTTAGCTAACGAACTGGGGCACCACCTTGCAGGTAATCCATTGGGTTTTTGGGTCACATGATCACACCGCACGCCCACACATCGCAGGATTGCGTGTACCTGCCGCCATCGGAATAAAAACCAGGGAACTTTTTTGGAATTTTCTGAATATGGAATCTCTTTTCATGTTCGATATAATCATATTACATGTATATATAATATATAATTATTATATATATATATGGATGGATGGATCGATGAATGGATGGATGGATAGCTGACAAGACCAGAAATGCCCCATATTTGTTGATCATAGAAGATCAGTGAAACCATGGCGCCATGGCCGATTTTTTTGGTACAGGGAATTTCTTTCCCCTACCCTTTTTCTACAACAACATATGAGGGGAAAGGACTACTTGTTTGGACATTCCCAATCTTAGATACCCTACCATTCATTTTTTCCGGCAGGTTAGTAAATATGCGAATGTAGAGCACAACATATTAAAGATCGTTAGTTCATATTTACTTGAAGGGTTTCCCATCCTAGGATTCCCATGAAAGGAACCCAAAATTAGAGTTCCATGGGGTCCCCAGTTGCATGTCCCACGAATCGGATCCGTGATTTATAATTCAGAAATATTCATATATAAATACAACATATATATATATATATATTTATTTAATCCATATATTCATCCCATAAGTGGGGATATTATGGGATCTTCCATTCATCTAGATGGTATAACCCATTTACTAAGTGCCACGCCCCCCCCACTGGTTTCTCCTTTTTTCCAAGCGAGTGGGTCTAGGCGAGGCGCCGTTTTTTTTGCCGGCGCCTGTGCTGGTGACGTCTCATAGGGAAACTATGGGGAAATATATAGGAAAGTGTGTATATCTGGGCAAATATATAGGGAAACTATCTATCTATGTATATATATATATATATGCGTTGGATGAAGATCTATGGTTTCAGTGCTTCCATGACTGTTCTTTGAACCACAAGTATTTCTTGAAAAGAAATCCACATGCCTGTTGGTTTAAATCCCTCTTTCCTATGAGGTAACCTTCCGAATCATAAATTTTGATGTTTGTTAAATTCCAATATCTACTCTGCACTTCCCCATTAAAATGGTGACATCTCCTCATTAATGGAGGGAAGTACAGAATTCAAAATTTTAATGGAGGGAAGTACAGAATAAAGATTGGAATTGAAGAAATGGTGAGATACTTCCCCATTACCCTGGGCAAATAATGATAATTCACTAACCTGAATAGTTCGGCCAGCCACGGGAGTGATTTCCCCAAAATAAACCTGGGATTCCAGGAGTCGGGAGAACAGGCTTCGGTCGTGATTAAATTTACCAATATATATATATATATATATATATACTGGTTGGTGGTATACCTACCCCTCTGAAAAATATGAAAGTCAGTTGGGATTATTATTCCCAATATATGGAAAAATAAAATTCATGTTCCAAACGACCAACCAGTATACATATATATATATATCCCTATACGGATCCAAACACTGTTTGAGAAGCTACAAATCACCCTCCAAATCCCCAGATACTTCCCCACTACACATTACACTGATAACACATTATTAAAATTGTGAAATCCATTGAAATCCCCCATCAAATTGGTGAATTCTGTACTTCCCTCGATTAAAACGTTGCTGAAATGCCCGGTTTTCGCGCCTCACATGGCGGGGGGCGGCACCTGGCTGAAGTTGGCTCCGTGGAGGGCGCCATTGGCTCCTCGAGTCATGGTTGATGAAAGTAATTCAAATGGGATTTGAACCATGAACATATGGCTGGGTAAATTATAATAATTCACTGAATTGAATAGTTCGGCCATTTTGGGGTGATTCCTCTTATAAACCATGATTCCAGGGTTCGGGAGAACAGTGAGGTCGTTTTTCATTCACCCACATATATGGGGATATTACTGAATATAACATAGTATAACTGAAAAATGCTGGTTGGTTCATGATTAGTTGAATCCAAGAACGAGGAATCCCCCCCAAAAAAACAACCAGGATGAAATGGAATGATAGAGGGATTTTGAAGACTGTTCAATTATCCTTTTTGGGTCGATTGAAAATTACCAAACTGGCTGGGATTTCTATAAGTTTATTCAATGAAGTTAGTCAATTATCATAGTGAAAAGACTAGTCGGTCAATTCGATAAGTATTGACATATCGCGATGTTTATCAGTGAAATCATTGAGATCTAAGAATCTAAGAACTGACTGGGACACAGTTGGAGTTAGAAAACTAGAACTACTTTCCTCTAACTGGTGACAAGTTGAGGCCCCCCGTGATGTGTATACCAGGTGAGCTCAGTCAACTTATCCATAAATCTATAAATCCCATGGTAAATCCCATGGAAATCCTGGTTTTTGTCGGTTAAATCACCATTTTCCAATGGTTTTGGCCGCTGTTCTTCGAGAATGTGAACAAATCGTCTCGTGACTCCGCTGGCCTTTGCTGACAATGACTATTTTGTAGTGACCACCGACATGATAAACATATCATACAGCTAAACATAGAAGACAATCATACATACCATCAATTTGTGTATGGTACACTAGATACAATACCGTACATGTTATTTTAGCTAGATATATCATAGATACATCATAATCATCCAATTGCACAATGCCCTTAAGAATTTGTCCAGATATCACATGTACTCCATTCCATCCGTTGGTTCTCGTTGTTTCCTCACAATGTTTCATCTACAAAATAATCCTTTATATTTAATGTCATTTTGATGATATCAAAATGATACCCCAAAAAAGATATCCCCATGTCCCTTTATAGCAGTACATATGTTCGGTACACTGTTGAAAACCATCGTTAAGAATTTTTGGAGATAATTCCGGGGAGTGATGCAAAACACCCAGATTTCCCCCCCCAAAAAAAAACAATCCGACTGGGGTTCCCTGCTCAGGTCATATTGCTGGTATATACCACTATGTACCATTACAGGACATCATACCAAGAACCATTTAACAATGACTATATGTATGTATGTATGTATGTATGTATGTATGTATGTATGTATCCATACAACACAACCAAAAAATGCTGAGACTCTTAAGCAAATACCATACCTTACCACAATAACTTAGAGTTGTTGATGTTACTTTTCACAGGGACGAGCCAAACCCTAAGTCATCATAGCATCAATACTTTGAAGATATGACTGGATCCACAGGGTACCATATTTAGGTGGATTACTATCCAGAAATATGTAAATGGATGTGCCGTATTGATATTATATGAATTGACATCCAAACATTTGTGTCAATTAATACTGGTTGGTGGTTTCAACCCCTCTGAAATATTAGTCAGTTGGGATGATTATTCCAAATATATGGGAAAATGTTCCAAACCACCAACCAGAATATAATAGTGACTATCCAAATTAATTGACATTATAAATATGTTGTACCAGTAGTACCGCACAAGGCGGTGGCGGAAGTTTCAAAAATATGAAACCTATAGGAGAGCTTGGTTGTTGTGAATCAGGGATGGCAGAGCGAAGTCACTGATGGACCGAAAGGTGCTTGAGGTCTCCTCTCTTTCTCTCTCTTTCTCTGACTATCTCCTACCTACCTATCTATCTTCTATGTATCTATCTATCTATCGATCTATCTATCTATCTCTCTCTCTCTCTTTCATCTAATTACCTCCCCCCTACCTAACTGCCTGGAATCTTGGGGGGGGGTATCCCCGGAAATTCCACTGAAACCTTCCACTGGAAAATGATGACTTCACAATATTTCACAATATTCACTACTGCAGGGTACGAAGCTTGAAAACAATATGTATATATATATATATGTATATACCCTAACCTTGGTTTTTCCCAATAGCATTCCGAAGTGGCCTTCCAGGTGTGTTTTGTCTCGGCCATGTCTTGGCTTTTAGCTCCGCGAGGGGTTGCGGAGCGGGGTTTACAATTTTATCTTGACAATTCTTTGAAAAATGAAGTGGTGTTCAAAAAATAAGTTCAACTCGACACTTCCCAAACATAGGATGCATCATCAAAATATAAATATATATAGACGTGTAGTGCCTCTACATTTGACACACGCACGCAAAGTTGTAGATAGTAGCTGTAGTTCTGTTGTGCGGACATGACTACATAGCAATCACATGGGGCAGGTATGATGTTCATTGGGGCTTTGTTTCGCTCATAGTCTGCCATGGCGACTAAAGATGGGAAGTTTGAGCTGTGGGAAGAGCGCCGTAATTTCGGCTTGGATACTTGCTGGGTCCTGAGCTTGCACGAATCTTGGGACCATCCAGAGTTTGCTCTTTTTTTTGATGATTTTTGATGAATGACAGGTTGGGGAAATATCCAATGAAGTGAAGATCATTACACTCGCATGGTCCAATTTGTTGATCCAGTAGCAGCCACCATCGCAGGTTAGCTGCGGCGCCGGGCTAGAAAGGAAATAGAAAGGAAAAAGGAAAGGAAAAGGAACAGGAAAAGGAAAAGGAACAGGAGAGGGAAAAAAATAAAGAAAAAGGAAAAGTAAAGCAGATTAGCCCCGGCGCCGGGCTAGAAAGGAAATAGATAGGAAATAGAAAGGAACTAGAAAGGAAAAAAGGAAAGGAAAAGGAACAGGAAAAGGAACAGGAGAAGGAAGAAAACAAAGAAAAAGGAAAAGTGAAGCAGATTAGCCCCGGCGCCGGGCTAGAAAGGAAATAGAAAGGAAATAGAAAGGAAATAGAAAGGGAAAAAGGAAAGGAACAAGAAAAGGGAAAGGAGAAGGAAGAAAACAAAGAAAAAGAAAATTAGACCCGGCGCCGGGCTAGAAAGGAAATAGAAAGGAACTAGAAAGGAAAAAAAGAAAGGAAAAGGAACAGGAAAAGGAACAGGAGAAAGAAAAAGAAAATTAGACCCGGCGCCGGGCTAGAAAGGAAATAGAAAGGAAATAGAAAGGAGAAAAGAAAAGGAAAAGGCGCCGGGCTAGAAAGGAAATAGAAAGAAAATAGAAAGGAAAAAAAGACAGGAAGAAACAGGAAAAGGAAAAGGAACAGGAGAAGGAAGAAAACAAAGAAAAAGGAAATTAGACCCGGCGCCGGGCTAGAAAGGAAATAGAAAGGAACTAGAAAGGAAAAAAAGAAAGGAAAAGGAACGGGAAAAGGAACAGGAAAAGGACAAATAAAAAGACAATTAGACCCAGCTCCGGGCTAGAAAGGAAATAGAAAGGAAATAGAAAGGAAAAAATGAAAGGAAAAGGAACAGGAAAAGGAAAAGGACAAAGAAAAAGAAAATTAGCCCCGGCGCCGGGCTAGAAAGGAAATAGAAAGGAAAAAGAAAGGAAAAAAAGAAAGGAAAAGGAACAGGAAAACGAACAGGAGAAGGAAGAAAAGAAAGCAAAAGGAAAAGTAAAGCAGATTAGCCCCGGCGCCGGGCTAGAAAGGAAATAGATAGGAAATAGAAAGGAATTAGAAAGGAACAAAAAGAAAGGAAAAGGAACAGGAAAAGGAAAAGGAACAGGAGAAGGAAGAATTAAAGAAAAAGGAAAAGTAAAGCAGATGGGCCCCGGCGCCGGGCTAGAAAGGAAATAGAAAGGAAATAGAAAGGAAATAGAAAGGAAATAGAAAGGAAATAGAAAGGAAATAGAAAGGAAATAGAAAGGAAAAAAGGAAAAGGAAAAGGAACAGGAGAAGGAAGAAAACAAAGAAAAAGGAAATTAGACCCGGCGCCGGGCTAGAAAGGAAATAGAAAGGAAATGGAAAGGAAAAAAAGAAAGGAAAAAAAGAAAGGAAAAGGAACAGGAAAAGGAACAGGAGAAAGAAAAAGAAAATTAGACCCGGCGCCGGGCCAGAAAGGAAATAGAAAGGAAATAGAAATGAAAAAAGAAAAAGGCGCCGGGCTAGAAAGGAAATAGAAAGGAAATAGAAAGGAAAAAAAGACAGGAAAAGAAACAGGAAAAGGAAAAGGAACAGGAGAAGGCAGAAAACAAAGAAAAAGGAAAGTAGACCCGGCGCCGGGCTAGAAAGGAAATAGAAAGGAACTAGAAAGGAAAAAAAGAAAGGAAAAGGAACGGGAAAAGGAACAGGAGAAGGAAGAAAAAAAAGAAAAAGGAAAAGTAAAGCAGATTAGCCCCGGCGCCGGGCTAGAAAGGAAATAGATAGGAAATAGAAAAGGAAATAGAAAGGGAAAAAGGAAAGGAAAACGAACAGGAAAAGGAACAGGAGAGGGAAGAAAAGAAAGAAAAAGGAAAAGTAAAGCAGATTAGCCCCGGCGCCGGGCTAGAAAGGAAATAGATAGGAAATAGAAAGGAAATAGAAAGGAAAAAAGGAAAGGAAAAGGAACAGGAGAGGGAAGAAAAGAAAGAAAAAGGAAAAGTAAAGCAGATTAGCCCCGGCGCCGGGCTAGAAAGGAAATAGATAGGAAATAGAAAAGGAAATAGAAAGGAAAAAAGGAAAGGAAAACGAACAGGAAAAGGAACAGGAGAGGGAAGAAAAGAAAGAAAAAGGAAAAGTAAAGCAGATTAGCCCCGGCGCCGGGCTAGAAAGGAAATAGATAGGAAATAGAAAGGAAATAGAAAGGAAAAAAGGAAAGGAAAAGGAACAGCAAAAGGAATTGCACAGAAAACCTGGCTTGCAGACAGTGGTGAGCGCTTTGTCAACTTGGAGGAAGCATCTCAGTGAGGGCATCGTAAAGATGGACCCGCGAGATTGCTTCAAGAAGGATAGCCAATACTGGCTGCATGACGCTTGAGGGAAAA